CGACACTGAGGAGAGAGCCACAGTTTGAAAACGCCCCCCCCCCCCCCCCTTCCTTGAAACTGTGGCGGCCCGCGGCGAGCCCTGGCTCGCGGAGGCCCCTTCCCCCTCCCCCTTCCCCTCCCCCCCTCTCCTCCTCCTCCTCCTCCTCCTCCTCCTCCTGCTCCTCCTCCTCCTCCTCCTCCTCCTCCTCCTCGTCCTCCTCCTCCTCTTCCCCCTCCATCCTTGAAGCTGTTCCAAAGATCACGCTTCAGGCTCATTAAAGGCGAGGAAGTCTCAGACGAGACGCCCGGCCTACAGACGCGTCTATAAGTGCGACCAGGAGGAGCGACAAGGAGTGGAGGAGGAGGAGGTGGAGGAGGAGGAGGAGGAGGAGGAGAAGATGGAGTAGGATGACGGAGGAGGACGGAGGACAGAAGACGGAGGATGGAGGAGGTGGAGTAGGAAGAGGGAGGCAGGGGGAGAAGGGAAGAAGATCGGAAAGAACAACGGCGGGAGGGAAGGAGGAAGGAGGGAGAAGGATGAGAAGGAGGGGGATGCGGGTGGAGCTGGAGGAAAAGGAGGAGGAGGAGGAGGAGGAGGAGGAGGAGGAGGAGGAGGAGGGAGGAGGGAGGAGGAGGGAGGAGGAGCATGTGGAGGAGCCGAGCGACATAGACCCAGAGGCAACATGCAAAAGGCAACCCGAGGGAGGAGGGATGAGGAGGTTGAGAGCAATACGCGGTTTCAAGGTGCCTCCTCTCGTGTTTCGCTTGGGCAGGCTTAGCATAGCCAAACAGGGCCACTGTGGCAATTCGGCCCCTTTTTCAAAGGGGGCCCCAGACAGCGCCGCGAACAGCTATGCGTGCCTCTTGCGTTTTGCTGCCAGGCGAGCGCATTCACTCTTCATGGCGAGGCGCTCCGCTCGAGTCCGGTGCCGCCCGCCCTCCCCGCATGGGCAGAGGCGGCACAGGTGCTGGACGGGGCTTGATGAATCGAATCTCGGTGCTGGCCTTGCTGTATATACGTATCTATATAGCACTCTGAGGCCATGGCACTGGCGAGGGGGGCCATGGGCAGGGCAGGAGGGGGAGGAGGAGGAGGAGGAGGAGGAGGAGGAGGAGGAAGAGGAGGAGGAGGAGGAGGAGGAGGAAAAGGAAGAGGAGGAGGAGGAGGAGGAAGGAGGAGGAGAAGGAGGAGGGGAAGTCGGATGGCACCATCTATACACCCACACTGATCCTGAACATGCCGATCGTGGGCCCTGGATCGGCACATGCGCCCCCCTGAGGCACCTACACCAGACCTTGGCCCAGGATAAGGCTGGCCAGGAGCGGTTCGGGCGTATCGACGGCGTCCTCCTAGGTGAGGCGAAGCAAAGGAGGAAGGGAGGTGAAGAGTCAAGAGTGAGGAGGTTCACTGCCCATGGAGAAGTCAGGGGGAGAGGGGGGGGAAAACTGGCGGGGGGGGACCATTCAAGAAGGGTGTGTTGTTCCCTTGCAAGGTGGCGCCATCCCTGCCAGGGCCCACCAACAGGGCACCTCCTACCCCCACATCACCCGTCGCCCGCAGCGTCGGCTGTCGCCGTGCGCTTGGCCTGGGCAGCTGCACGGTCCGCCAAGGTTTGGCAGCCGAGTGCCTCCGCCTCGTCTCGGGAGCGGGGGCCACACGCGCAAGCATGCACAGACTTCAGGGCCGGCAGGGGGGGCGACCGCCTGCTTCGGGGGACCACCTTCGGAGCAGGTGGGGCCCCACCCCGAAGTGCCAGGAGAACCAGCCCCTGGTCGCCCCCCACGGGGCCCCCGAGAGCCCGAGAGGAACAAGAGTGTGGGCAGTCGGGTGACGTCCGTCGCGCCACCTCTTGCGCGCGGTGAGCGCGGATCCCCCTTGCACGAAGAGCGAGGAGGAGGAGGAGGAGGAGGCGGAGGAGGAGGGAGGAGGCGGAGGAGGCGGAGGAGGAGCGAGAAGGAGGAGGAGGAGGAGGAGGAGGAGGAGGAGGAGGAGGCGGAGGAGGAGATAGCCCGGGCGGGGAGCGCCTGCACAGCAGTTTTCGCAGGGCCCCGATGCTGCACCGACGGGCCGCGCCACAGGACCACGGCAGGTTGCCAAGGGCGCGCGCGGGGGCAGCGGGGCCCGCGCGGGTTGGGGGAGCTGCCCGGGCATGCCGAGGAAGGGCGATCGCCGTGAATCGGGGAACAACCGTTCACATACAGTCAACCCGCGTAGTAAGGATGGGCAACCTTCCCAGCTGTGCCCTTGCACCCTTGCCTCCTCGGTCCATCCTTCGCCGCTTTCGCTGGCCGCGCCCCGCCCGAAGAGCTTTGAAATGGGCGTCCAAGGCCCTTGCATCTTTATCGCGCATCCTTATTATACTGGTTGACTGTAAACATGAACTATTGGAGGTCCGCGCGTATTTCTTGGATCGGCGCCAGGAACCCCCTGGCAGCGCCTCCGGCGCCGCTCCTGGCGCGCCCTTCGCGCCAAGGAGGGGAGTCCGGCGCAAATCCAAGAAATCTGCGGGGGGACTCCAAAAGTTATATTTATAGCCGATTTATTTGTTCCTCGAATGAAGCAGGCGGGTCCACGGATCGGTGCCATCGACATGGGTACGGAACGAATGGGCACGAAGCCCGACAGCATGTCTTGCTCATTCTGAGCAGGGCTGGCTGTTGGTGTCGCCGCGGGCGCTGTCCATTTGAGACAGACGGCCGCCTGCCCGACAGCGGCCGCTGTCGGTTCGGACAACACTTGCTGTTGGGCATCGTACCCGTTTTTGTCCCTGCCCACTTCAGACGTCCAGAAGGAGTCAAGCGAGTCTTGAGGTCTTTCTCTGTCGTCGGGCTCTCGGTTTCGTGCTCTCGGTGCCGTCCCCGGGCCCCGGGGCCGTTATACCAACGTGCTCAGCATGCAGCGCGGGTCGGACGGGGAGGGCCCCCATGGGTCCAGGAGCCGCTGCCTTTGGGACGCAGGGCGGATTTCGCTCGGATTTCAATCGGATGGGCCCGGAGAGTCTTGGAGAATGTCGTTCCGGATTTCGCAGTGATTTTCGTGCGGATCTTTTTTGGCCAGGAATGAATCGACCAAAACATATCCACGCGAAATTCATTGCGCTCTCCGCTCGCCGTTTCGGGAAAGCATCCACGCAGAAATCCGCGCAGAAGTCCGCTGCAGCACGTCTGCAAGGCCAGTGCAATGACTCATGTCAGCAGCCGGGTGAGGAATGGCCGGGCACGGAGGGCGGGAGCTACTGCGGAGGGCATCCTGCCCGATGCGGGAGGGTGTCGCGTCGGTGCTGTGTGGTGCGCTCTCCGAGCGGCCGCCTCCGCCTCTGCCGCCCCAGGCCGTTTTCGCAGCGAGGAGCGCCGCGCGCGTGTGGCGCGGCAAGAAAGGAAGTAAACAGCTGGATTAGCATTAAATCGGGCCTGTCCCTCTACAGGAGGATGATTCAAACATAGTAAAACAAAATATCCTGGGGAAGATTATTATTGTATGTGTGAGTATATTTAGAATATTTGTTTCTTAAAAAAATCTCGTTCGAAATCGGGCTGTAGGGGGACATGCCCGACCTAAGATTAGCAGACGTATGCCAGGACACCTCACGCACTGTTCCGGTGCAGTCACAGGGGGTGGGTCGTTTGGGGATTGGTCCTCCTCCTTCTCCTACTCCTCCTCCGCCTCATCCTCCTCCTCCTCCTCCTCCTCCTCCCATCGCCCGTCTCCGTATTACGATCCGCCGCTTTCTCGTTACACCGATGTTGATCGAAGCGATCGCCGCGTCTGAACGCGCGTGTTGAACAAGAGGAAAGCACCTGTGTGAACACAGCACCATTGTACATACGCGCAGCGTGTGCACAGCAGAAACTACAAGGGCCCAACAAGCGGGAAGCGGGAGAAGCGAACCACCTCCTCATGGCCCTTCCCCCCACCCCGCGGCGGAGGAGAGAAATGGATGCGGACCCTCATCATCCTCCTCCCCCTCGTATTTGCCCAAACAGGTGTTTGCACTGGGGGGTTCTTACCGCCCGTCGCCGCCTTCCCCGCCCGTCGCCGCCCGTCGCCATCGCCGCCCGTCACCGCCATCTCCGCCCATCGCCGCCCGTGCCGCCCGTCGCCGCCCGTCGCCGTCGCCGCCCGTCGCCGCCATCCCCGCCCGTCGCCGCCCGTCGCCGCCATCTCCGCCCGTCGCCGCCCGTCGCCGTCGCCGCATCGCATACAGTGCATCACAGATGTTGCACTGCATAGACTGCATGGCATAGTCGCATCGCATACATTGCACCTAGAGTGCACCGCATGGGTTGCATAACCTAGGTTGCATCGCATACATCGCACCACTCACAGCTTGCATTACATAGGTTGCATCGCATACATTACGCCACATAAATTACACCGCTTGAACTGCATTACACAAATTACATCGCATACGTTACACCACAAATATTTGCATACACTGCACCACACATATTGCACCGCCTAGGCTGCATTACGTAGGTCAGTAGCCATTTTGGCTCAAGGCCCACTTGGATCCCCTTCGGGGTCCATAGGGGGTGAGAGCCCTGTAGCCTGTCTGGCTCGGTGGCGCCGCCCTCGCGCGTTGGGGTCTCCTCCAGTGGGGGGCGCGCGGCTGGGCGGGGCGCGGGCGCGGGGGTTTCCTCCTCCCCTCCACCCGGCGCCGATGTCACTCCTCGTTGGCGGCGCGGCGCTGCCCGCCGGGGGACATTGGTGCAGCTGTGGGGCGGCATGCTGGGCGGCCCAGCCGGCGGTGCTGGGCGTGATCCTGCACCAGTTGACGCCGCCGGTGGCAGAGGCGCCCCCGGCGGCGCTGTCGGCGGCGGCCGGGGCGAGGTGCGGGCGCGAGTTCCTGAACTTGCTGCAGCCGCAGGCGCCCGAGCAGGCCTCTGCCGAGGCAGAGTCGACGCCGCGGGCGAGAACGCCGACGTGGTGGAGGTTCGCGCAGGGGGTCTGGCGGGCGGCCCCAGGTCCCGCCGAGGCGAGGCCGTGCGGCCGCGGCGGCAGCGGCGAGGCTGAGGCACATGGCAGAGTTCAGTGCAGCTCGGTGGCCGAGGTCGCAGTCGCCCTGGAGCCCCCTGCGGAGGGCCACGGGGCCTGGGAGGAGCCGAGGCCGCGCGCCCGTGCGCGCGCGGCGCCTCCGCGCGGCCAGCGGCGGGGAGCGAGGGGTGCTCTTCGCGGCGCTGGCTTGTGACGGCGGCGACGGTTGCGACGAGGACGAGCCCGAGGGTAACGCCCCGGTAAAGGCCGAAGCGGTGGTGGCTGCACCGCGAGGCAACGGCCCTGCTGAGCGCCACGGTGGCGATGACGACGAGCTGCAGGCCGAGGCCATGGCGCGGGCGGCAGCAGACCGGCAGCGGATGGTAGCCGAGCAGTCCGAGGAGAAGCAGGGCTCGGAGGGCGCCGTCGAGCTCGTGCAAGGCGGCGCGATGCTGCTACCGAAGGCGCCCGAGGGCGCAACGAGGGAAGACTTCGTCGAGGCGAAGTCCGAGGGCGGTATGGGCGAGCCTGTGGTGGACGGCGAGAAGGCGGTCGACGCGCCCGCCGTGGCGGAGCGCGAGGGGGAGGTCGACGAGTCCGTGGTGGTTGAGGGCCACCTGGGCAACGACGGGGGCGGCATCGGGACGCAGGCAGAGGGCGCTGCGGTGCCGTCTCTGCCCAAGGCGCCGCCTGGTTGTGCAGGTGGGGCCGGCGAGTACGTGGTGGTTGTCGAGACGAAGAGGACCGATAAAGATGGGGCGCCGAGGAGGGGGAGGACTCGGGCCCAGAGACGGGCTGCCCAGGCCGTGGGGACGGCGGAGCCCTACGAAGGGGTGCGCGCGGGCGCCCCCAGGCCGCGACTGTGAGGTCCGAGCAGGTAAGTGTGAGCTGACGCCTGCTGTTGCCTCTGCGCGTCTCGTCGGCAGCGCGTGTGGAACGCTGCGCGCTGCCTGGCGCTCAAAGTAGTGGTGGTAGATTGCCGCTGCTCGTGCTGGCCCACTAGAGGCTGGCTTGATGGTTTTCACTGGGAGCCTGTGAACCGTGCGCCCTCTCGCGTTTGAGGTGGGGTGCGCGTGGTCAGTGTGGGACACAAAGACTGCATCGCATAAGTTGCATCGCATAAATTATCCTTTCAAAAGAAGAATAGACTCTACCCCCCTCCGAATTAACGATACGCCTTTTCGTATTTGCAATTTACAGATGCTTCTGCACACTCGTTCATCCTAAATACGAGTTCATATTATCCCAGCCAAACCGGTAGCGCTCCCCCCCGCCACCCTCTGCAAACAATACTATGCGCGCGCTCTCGTTTCCCCAAAAACATAAGTGTTCAATAATCCCTTGGGATAAGAAATCAGACGAAGTGCACACGCGCGCGTCGTCGCGCGTGCACGCCGAAATCCTTTCAAGAACCTTCGGTTTCGGAAGAATTTCAAAATCGAGTTTCCAAAACACATACAACAACACATGGTGTCGCAACACTGGTTGCCTAAAAAAGTTTACGCGCGCTCTTGCGAAATCTCAAGAAAACCATTGGTTCTTCAAGATTTTCGCATATACTACCAAACGAGCTTCGCGCGCGCATGTCCAAATCGGTCGAACGCCCTTGCGCGCGTGCCGTCGCGAGAATCCTCTGCAACAAACGGGACGAAGTGCAGACGCGCACGTCGTCGCGCGTGCATGCCGAATTCCTTTCAAGAACCTTCGGTTTCGGAAGGGTGTCAAAATCGTGTGTCCAAAAAACATACGTAGCACCCCGCAATTGCGGATAAGAGTGAGGGGGCGGGCGCGGGCGACGCGCCCGTGGGTGGGGTCGCGGGTGGGTCGCGGGTGGGTCGCGGGTGGGTCGCGGGTGGGTCGCGGGGTGGGTCGCGGGTGGGTCGCCGGTGGGTCGCGGGTGGGCCGCCGGGGGGGTCTCGGGGCGGGTCGCGGGTGGGTCGCGGGGTGGGTCGCGGGTGGGTCGCGGGTGGGTCGCGGGCTCTCCACCTCCACTTGGAACGAATTCAAAAACAGCCTGCCGCAGGCGCCGAACATTTTGATTTGTACACTGAACGCGGTTTGTGTCGCGGGTGGGTCGCAGGTTCTCCACCTGGAACGAATTCAAACGAAGCCCGCCGCAGGCGCCGGAAATTTTGGGTGGGTCGCGGGGTGGGTCGCGGGTGGGTCGCGGGTGGGTCGCGGTGGGTCGCGGGTGGGTCGCGGGTGGGTCGCGGGTGGGTCGCGGGGTGGGTCGCGGGTGGGTCTCGGGGTGAGTCGTCGGTGGGTCGCGGGTGGGTCGTCGATGCAAAAGAAACCTGCCGCAGGCGCCGAAATTTTGGCTTGATCAGTGAACGTAGTTTGGGTCGCGGGCGGGTCGCGGGCTTTCCACCTCCATTTGGATGGAATTCAAAAACAGCCCGCCGCAGGCGCCGAACATTTTGATTTGCACACTGAGCACGGTTTTGGTCGAGGGTGGGTCCTAGGTTCTCCACCTGGAGCGAATGCAAAAGAAGCCCGCCGCAGGCGCCGAAAATTTTGGTTGGGTCGCGGGGTGGGTCGCGGGTGGGTCGCGGGTCGGTCGCGATGGGTCGCGGGTGGGTCGCGGGTTGGTCGCGGGTGAGTCGCGGGGTGGGTCGCGGGTGGGTCGCGGATGGGTCGCCCGTCGGTCGCGGGTGGGCCGCCGGGGGGTCTCGGGGTGGGTCGCGGGCGGGTCGCGGGGTGGGTCGCGGGTGGGTCGCGGGTGGGTCGCGGGCGGGTCGCGGGGTGGGTCGTGGGCGGGTCGCGGGGTGTGTCGCGGGTGGGTCGCGGGTGGGTCGCGGGGTGGGTCGCGGGTGTGTCGCGGGGCGGGTCGCGGGTGGGACGACGACAACAACAACAACCAACAACAACAACACCAGCAACAACAACAACACCAACAATAACAACAGCCACAACAGCAGCAACAACATCAACATCAACATCAACAGCAACAACAACAATAATCCGCATCGCAGAATTCCACTTCAGCCACGCACCCAGGGACAGTGAATGACCGTTCGGTTGAGCCACACTCTGACAAAACACAAGGTCTCGCAACACGGATTTTCAACAAAAAAGTGCGCGCGTTCGTGCGTCGTCGTTATCGTCGTCGCCGTCCTCCCTCCTCCCTCGTCGTCGTCGTCGCCGCCGTCGTCGTCCTCTGCCTTTCCTAGTCGTCGTCGTCTTCCCTCCTCCCTCGTCGTCGTCGTCGTCGTCGTCGGCGGCGTCGTCGTCGTCGGCGTTGTCATCGTCGTCGTCGGCGTCGGCGTCGTCGTCGTCGGTGTTGTCGTCGTTGTCGTCGTCGTCGAAGTCGTTGGAAACGTCGTCGGTGTCGTCGTAGTCGTTGTCGGCGGTGTCGTCGTCGTCGTCGTTGTCGCTGCCGTCGTCGGCGTCGGTGTCGTTGCCAACTGCCATTTCGTACCCACCGTCACGGTCGTAAGAGGTCTTGCGGCCAAGTTGCGGGTGGGAGGGTGGGATGTTCGCAGGAAGTGCGGAGAGGACAGCTTCAAGTTGAGCAAGCGAATTAATTCCCAACCATTTTGTGGTGTTGGGTCCTCGTTTTGAAGAGACGGTGCCCCGCGTCTCCTTCTCCTCCTGTTGCCCCCTCCCTCCTCCCTCCCCCCCTCCTTGCCTCTGCTCTCGGCACACCCCTCACACGTTTCGTGGCCCCATTGGGAGCTCCACCGAAGGTCCCAGTGGCACAGCCCGCATGCGGTTTCCCCTGCCCAGGGCGGCGTTTCGTGGCCCCATAGGGAGCTCCACCGAAGGTCCCAGTGGCACAGCCCGCATGCGGTTTCCCCTGCCCAGGGCGGCGCTTCGTGGCCCCATAGGGAGCCCCACCGAAGGTCCCAGTGGCGCAGTTCGCATGCGTCCCCCCCACCCAGTGCAGCGTTTCGTGGCCCCATAGGGAGCTCCACCGAAGGTCCCAGTGGCGCAGTTTGCATGCGTCCCCCCCACCCACCCAGGGCAGCGCTTCGTGGCCCCATATGTAGCTCACCCGAAGGTCCCAGTGGCATGCGTCCCCCCGCACCCGGGGCACCGAAGGTCCCAGTGGCACAGCCCGCATGCGGTTCCCCCACCCAGGGCAGCGTTTCGTAGCCCCATTGGGAGCTCCACCGAAGGTCCCAGTGGCACAGCCCGCATGCGGTTCCCCTGCCCAGGGCAGCGTTTCGTGGCCCCATAGGGAGCCCCACCGAAGGTCCCAGTGGCGCAGTTCGCATGCGTCCCCCCCACCCAGTACAGCGTTTCGTGGCCCCATAGGGAACTCCACCGGAGGTCCCAGTGGCGCAGTTCGCATGCGTACCCCCCGCCCAGTACAGCGCTTCGTGGCCCCATACGGGTCTCCCCCGACTGCGATATGCACAACTGCATATGGTTGGGTCCTTCGCCAGGCTAATTCTCTTTTCTAAAGCAAGAATTCACTCTCCCCCCTTGGACTCAACAGGTCACCTTTTCGCATTTCAATGTGCATGTGATTTTGCCCCACCGTCCATCCTAAATCTGCGCTCATACTATCCCAGCCAGGCCAGTATCACTCCCCGCCGCCATCCTCTGCAAACAATACTATGCGCGCGCTCTCGTTCCTCAGCAGTCATAAGTGTTCAAGAATCCCATGCAAAAGCTGGACGAAGTGCGCACGCGCGCGTCGTCTCGCGCGCAAGACGAAATCTTTCGAACACCTCCTTGGTTGCGGAAGGATTTCAACATCTAGTTCCCCCCAAAAAACAACATACAAAAACCACAAGGGGTTCGCAGCATCGATTGTTTAAAAAAGGCTCACGCGCGCGTTCTTGCGAAATCTCACAAAAACCATAGGTGCCCCAATTTTTTTTTCAAACGCGCTACCAAACGGGGTTCGCGCGCGCGCATGTCGAAATCGTTCGAACGCCGTTGCGCGCGTGCCTTCGCGACAATTCCCTGCAACAGACGGGACGAAGTGCGCACGCGCGCGTCGTCTCGCGCGCATGCCGAAATCCTTCGAAAAGCCTATTTGGTTTCGGAAGGGTGTCAACATCGTGCGTCCAAACAACATACAAAAGCACCAGGTTTCGCAACACGGATTTTCAACAAAAGCGTGCGCGCGCGTTCTTGTTGCGTCGTCGTCGTCGTCGTCGCCGTCCTCCCTCCTCCCTCGTCGTCGTCGTCGTCACAGTCGTCGTCCCGTCGTCGTCGTCGTCGTCGTCGTCGTCGTCTTCCCTCCTCCCTCGTCGTCGTCGTCGCCGTCGTCGTCCTCCCTCCTCCCTCGTCGTCGTCGTCGTCTTCGTTGGCGATGTCGTCGTCGTCGTCGTCGGCGTCGTCGTCGTCGTCGGCGGCGTCGTCGTCGTCGTCGGCGTTGTCCTCGTCGTCGTCGTCGTCGTCGTCAGCGTCGTCGTCGTCGTCGGTGTCGTCGTCGTCGTCGTTGTCGCCGTCGTCGAAGTCGTTGGAGACTCGCCCGCAACGTCTACCGTCGTCGACGTTGCCATGATACCGCGCCCGCCCAAGTCGCCGACTCGCAATGAAGTGCCCGCTGGTACGTGCCCAACGATCAGTGCCACCGCGGCCGCGTCGGTCACGCCAAACCAGTTGGCCGTTGCGCGTGCGTGCTTGGGTTGGCGCGGCCGCAGAAATGCACCAGCCAACGCCGAGCATGCATCGCAATCGCTGGGTGGGTGGGTGGGATGTTTGCAAGAGCACGGGCTGTGTCAACTCGTTTGTAGAGATCAAATGCACCATATAGATTGCGCCGTATAGACTGCATTACATAGGTAACATCGCATACATTGTACCAGATATATTCTCCTTTTCAAAAGACTAATAGATTCTACCCCCCCCCCCGGACTTATCGGGTCCCCCGCGCGTGCTGCAAATCACATACGATTCTGACCACATG